GAGGTGCTGCGTTGGCTGCCCCACTCACTAGATGGCAGCATGCTACGATGGCGGCGGTGTGAGAGATGATGGGGGCGCTGCGTTGGCTGCCCCACTCACTAGATGGCAGCATGCTACGATGGCGGCGGTGTGAGAGATGATGGGGGCGCTGCGTTGGCTGCCCCACTCACTAGATGGCAGCATGCTACGATGGCGGCGGTGTGAGAGATGATGGGGGCGCTGCGTTGGCTGCCCCACTCACTAGATGGCAGCATGCTACGATGGCGGCAGCGTGGGGACGTGGGGGCGCCACTCTTCGTCGATGCTTGATTGCCTCGTTTTTAATCGGGTCGCGTGTCGGCTTGTAATTGTCGGCTTTTAATTCGAGTTGTCCCGCCCTGTCTGGAGTGTGGCACGCTGATTGATGCACTGCCACGGTGCAGTAAGTAACAACATCCGGAAATGATGTCTTGCAACAATGTCTTGCAACAAAGTGACTGCCCCACGCATCTGCCTCCTCCGATGAGCTCTGCAGCCGAGGGGTGAGCGGGGAGGCAGGACGGCGGGTGAAGGCGGGGAGGCAGGACGGCGGGTGAAGGCGGTAGAGCAGTGGGAGAAGAGTGGTGCGCGATCAAAGTGCGGCCAGGTCAGCCGACGGGCGGGAACTTTGACGCGGCGACGCGGGAAAGCGACAGCATGGTTGGAGACGATTTCTCCGGCAGATTCTGACTCCCGTGTCGCGATTCCCGGGTGACGCACCCTGGTGGTGCACTCGCAAACAATTCGCAAGAGAGGAAACAAGTGGGCGGCGCGTGTTCTGCCTTGGTTGAGCGTCCACTCAGTGATGAATCGGAGGAGTGGCCGCTGTATTGCTGTTGCTATGGGTGCCTACAACCCTTGTTCTTCTCTCGCCTGTTCTCATCCAGTTAGTCACATGTATATTTATAATTATTTATATTCCGCAGCTAGTTATCTGCTGCACGGCCCCTCCTTCTCGTCCCCTCTCCCTCGCACCGCGCCCCCTCGCCCCCTCTTCCACGCACCACCCCTCCATGCATCCTCCCTCTCCTCCAGTGTCATCTGTATTTCCCCTTTTCTCCCGAATCCCCGAAATCTTACCATTTGCACGCCATCCCCCCATCCTAAGCACTCGTGCTTTCACATTTGTCCATTTGCACGTCCAAAATTTTCCCCTCTCTCTCTCTCTTTTGAGGCTCCTCCTTCCGATTTAGATATCATCTTAACATCTCCACGTTAAGGTTGCCGATTTATCTTGCTATAGAAAAGTATGAAGCGTTTCTCGCTTTTTTAACGCTACTCAGAAAGTTGCTTTTAAGTCTCGTCTGTGTTTTTATTGTTTGGAGAGGTAGGTGGCGCCACCTGTTCTGTTTGGATCCCCAGTGCAGCAGCGTCGCTTTTCCACTTGTACATTTTTTGCAGCAGCAACCGCTCGCTGTTTTTTTATCACGTATTCTATTCATCATAGGTTTTAGACTCGGTTTGGAGGTTTGTGTGGTAAGAATTGTTTGTATATTTGTGTGGAATTATGAAACGAGAGATGTGAGAGCGGGGTCAGTCTATATATAGAGGACTTGATGCTCATACCTGTGCTATTTGATGTCACACGTTACGAATAAAAAACTGGTTTCCTGTGAATTTTATTTCAAAAGTAACATCGATTTGTTATGGATTATATATCTTTGGTTAAGTAGTTACAACAACTTTATAGTAATACTGTTTAATAATAGTAGGAACTATTTTTATCAAATGTACGTCACGTAATTAAATCGAATCAGGCGTTAATTTTATTAATTTGCGAATAACTTTTATAATGCTGATAAATATTTCGGTCGATTATAATTTATATTAGCGCATTCCTAGCAGAATTTGCTGATATTTAACACGTGGGTGCATATCCTAGCTAGAGG